GAACTTTGGCTCCTGGACTTTTGGAAAATTGGTCCGAACAAGGTTCGAACCCACGACCTCAGGTATCCGAGTCAGTGTTCTTATCCCCTGAGCCATGTGGACACACAGAAGATGGATGTTTTTTTTATATATCACTGTCCTTTGTAGACTCTAGACTTTAAAATTCACTTTGTCCTGAACAAGATTCGAACCCACGACCTCAGGAGTCCCAGTCTGTGTTCTTATCCTCTGAGCCACATGGACACACAGGAGTCTTCTGTTTATTTCTCTCTTTTTGAAGGTTGTAGATAATAGAGTCATAGATACTTTGATCGATGTCTTTCATTTAGATGATACAGGATTTATTGACAAACGTTTGAAACCATTTTGATGTTTATCTTTATAGGGATGTGCTGCTCTTGTAAAAATAGCATTTTTATCTCCATGAGGCTTTATTAAACTAATAATTTATACTTTATATTTGACCTGCTGACTGGAGCAACCCAGTCAGGGCCCTCAGGTCATCAGATTGCTCCAAAAGCAGAGCAAAGCTACCTGGGATTGACAAATCACGACCACAGCGGCCTAGTGACAAGGTTTAAAATGCCAAATTAGCAGAAATGATCATCTGTGGTACGAAAACACAAGTTTGAGACTGCAAAAATATTTAAATTTACATCTGCGAAATGCAGTGCAGTCGTGAGTCCTGAATAATGACTCAGAAAAGAAACAGGACCCTCTACCCTACCCTGAGGCACACGAGGAGCGAGTGTATGTCCTTAAAAGCCCATAACACCCCATGAAGTGTATGATGAGACATCATCAGAGTGTCTCATCTCTGAGGAAAACATCTATGGGAGTTTTCCACAGAAGATATACTAACTCTGCAGAGGAAAAGGGAGTTAAAGGGAGTATGGTTTCACAAATCATTCCTGTAAAGACTGCGGACTCCAAGGTTACCCAAGCGAGTGGCCATTGAAGAGACCGGAGCAGCTGAGTGGAGGAGGATTAGGGAAAAAAGGATTGAAAAGGAAGGGAGGAGAGAGCGAGGGAGGTGAGTGGAACAACTGTGTGTTCATACCTCCCTCTGACCTCCTGTTCTGCACCGTCAACGAGCAGTAATCCACGGAGGATGAAGATGCAGGGAGTGGCTCGGTGTGGAGATGAAGAAGAAGAGAAAAAAAAGCCTGACTGTGACAGGAGTGTTTTCAAAAGTGATGAGAGAGCTCTGATTTGTTTGGCATGGTTACAGCCCAAAAAAAAGTGTTTATGGGGGCTCTTCTGAAGGGATTATAAAAATGATTCATCATCCTTCCTGCAGTCTGAGGACGATGGAGGTACACACACCCACCTCCTGTTCAAACAGAAACTCTGCGATGCACAAACTATTCATCCGTTCATAATGGATTACAGGTCGATGCTGAAGTTTAAAGACTCTGTGATGAAATCGGCTGCAGTGAGCAACCAGACCAAGTCTCTGAGATCCTAGACGAGGTGGAAGATTGTGCAAAATACAAGAGGCAAGCAGAACAACTTTGGATTTTATGTTTGAGTGGGTGGGATTCACATAGGGCTGAATGTGGGAGCGCTCAAAGACAAACACAGTGACAGAAAATGAGATGGAAATAAGTTCAAAATAGGTTGAAACAACAGTTTTATTATCGGTGCATATTATACGGATGACTTAAAGAAAAAATACATTAGTATAAGTTTATTATCTGATGTGTAACAATGTGAGACAGAAACCTCAGTGAGCAATAAATTATATTTATAAGTATATGCTGTACAAATGTATATAGTAAATAAGACTCATGTATATGTATTTTTAATCTCTAAGTTTTCTTATCCTTTAATTTCTCTTTTCGTATTTATGCTGCTGTAATTTGGAATTTCCCCCTGTGGGACTAATAAAGGAATATCTGATCTTATCTTGACTTAGAAGAACTTAATGCTTCTGTTTGAAACATGTCAAGAATCGTAAACTCTACCAGATCGTTCACACAAGCTCCTGTGAGGAACTTTTATCCTGTAAAACACTCTGCTGTAGTAAAATCAACTCATAATAAGTGTCTTTAGAGATCTCTGCCACATAAACCTGCCAAGGACTGAATCATCTATCCGGCAGGTAAGAATGACCTCTGTCACAAAGAGGAGCTGTGAAAATGCTAACTACAGGAGAAAAAGAAAGTCCACTTTGTCAAGAGGAAAGGCTTCAAGGAGAAGTATCTCAGTGACGCTTTTCCAACACCAGGCAACTTTGTGATATGTGCACCACAAGCCCCGTTTACATGGGTCCAAAAATCCTATTTACAATAAGATTGAAAGGTCAATCAGATTCAAAATGTCTCATATAAACATCTTAGCTAATCTGATTCACCCGGATCTGATTGTATTTCAGGTCGGATTGTAAGATTGCTCTATGCTCCATATATACGGCTGAGTGGAGCGGATTGGGTTTACAGAGAGGCTTGTTCGGTCTGCGCAGGCGCTCCGTAGCACCTAAGAGGCACGTAGTGACGTACGCAGAGCGCACCCAAATGAAAACAAACATGGCGAACAAACAGAAAAACTGGACGATAGGAGGAGACGAACTTTATGATAGAAACCCTGCGAGAGTTGAAAATTGTTGAGAGGTTAGATGGTAGAAAGACACGAAACACTGAGTTGTTCAAACAAGTAGATGAAATGCTGGAGGCTGGAGGAGTGAACAGGACTATCGAGCAAATTAAAACACCCTAAAAACGGTGTATTACAAAGCTAAAGTCCAGAACCAAAAAAGCGGTTTCAACCCTTCAAGTTTCCCATTTTTTTGTCTTATGGACGAAGTGATGGGAGACAGGCCTTTGGCTAATGTGAAGAGCCATGTATACAGATGGAATCAGATTCACTTAATCCGATTAATTTTGATCAGATTGAGGAAAACTACCCATATAAACGGGGCTTCTGTGATCCTGAACTAAACCATGAGCAGAGTGAAAACATGCTGGAAGTGAACCTGCTCTAGTTCTTACACTCTGGAGTCTCTTTTGGATTAAAAAATAAAAAACTCACTTTCAGGTAAATCAAACTGATGAAAGAAAGACTTGATCTGTTATCCCCTGTTAAAAAACCTTCAGTTAAGTTACACACAGACTGTAGACAGGTAGGTAGAAAGATGGTCTCACTGCAGGAACTTCAAACTATAACAGATAGTTCTCCTAAAAGTGCAGCTGCAATGATAAAATGTTCACGGCTGTAACGTAAAACTCAGACCCCCTGCAACATCTCCCTGTAGACCATGACCTACAATGCAATAATATTTCTCACAGTTTTTTAGCTGCTCAGCAGACTCCACTAGTGATAAATAAAGCCGACGCAAAAGTACAAAAATACAGGAAATTATAGAAAAAGTGACGACTTGCAGAAGGTATAATGTCTGCAAAGAAATGGTCCCAGTTTGTCCCAAATGAATGCACAATGGCTCATTCAGATACATGCAAACATACAAGCTCTCATATGTGACCCTTTGCATGAGTTTTGTAAATCATTTGCATCGCCTAGCAGGTTAGAAAGCTGCACAGATCCGGCACAGATGTCCCGTCTTGTTTGATTCATGTTCGTTTTTGCATCTCGGAAACTTATATGAATGCAGTAAAAGAGAAAAATCTTCATAATCATCTGCAGTTTATGCTTTTCAGTCAGATTGTAAACTCACAAAGTCTTCTCTGCTCAGATGGAAATCTTATGGAAATGCACGGCTCTTACTTTCACATGAATATGAAAACATGTGGAATCAGGATGTCTTGGCACACACTGGTGGCATGAGAATAAATGTTACTCTAAATATTCACAGAGATTTTTACAGAAGCACTCCTTATCTGGAGTGCAGCAGCTCATTAAACTGCAGATTACTCTGTTGAGCCTGGAGATTGGAGAGAAATGTCTTCATGTTGATAAATGTTAATTGATCTTCCCTTCACCATGGCGAATTCTTAATTTCCGTGGCATTGCCCTTTAAGGCGGCTGCACTCTCCAGAGAGCGGCGTCTGAGTCAGTACTTCATCTCCCGTATAGACACCAGCAGCCGCCTTCTCTGCCACTTATTGAGTCTGAATGCCGCACACGCTTCATTTATTCTGTTTTCTTTCTGTCTTTAATTCCACGACCTCCTCGCTCACGCCGGCGTGCGGCATCACCCCGTGTTCCTCCTCGCTCGTGCCAACAGTCAAGAGGTTTTGTAAACAAACGATGATGTCCAGTTTGATTTATAATCCCGACGAGAGCGGGCATCAGTGAGCAAAAAAGATTATCTATGGCTGACTTTCCCTCTCTAGTTTTTGACGTCTCTCTGCTGCTCGGAGGGTCTCCCCTGAGGACCCTTTAGAAGTGCACAGAATCACCACATCCCCTCAGAGCGTGTCTGTGCTCATTCCTCTGAATGCTCACAAACACACAGACTATTTGTTAGCATGTTTGCATGCATCTGATCTCACTTGTCATGTGAGATTATTTGCACTTTTGAACGTTTCGACCTACTGGAGGACAAAAAAACAACAAATCATGAACTGACCAAAAATAACACAAACAGTCCCAACTCCTAACCTAACTCCTCTTTGGCGTGTTTTTGGGATGTTGGAGGAAACCAGAGTACCCGGAATAAACCCACACAGACACAGGGAGAAAATGCAAACTCCACACAAAAATGCCCTGACCAGGATTCGAACCCAGGACCTTCTTGCTGTGAGGCAACAGTGCTAACCACCACGCCACTGTGCGGCCCGGTTCATATCTTTTCAACAAATCTGTCAAGATGTGCAGGGGGAAAACAAAGAAAAAGACCTCAGTGCAAAACCAAAAAACAAGGATGTATTAAAATTAACTAAATGAAAGGCAAGAAAAACTTTAAATGTCCAGCTAGAAAAATTCTCTAATGCAAAAAAGCACAAGAAGCAAAATCCAAAGAAACAAGAATCACATACACACAATGAACCAACAAAGAAACAGGGAAGACAGGAGCTGTAATGAGCAACGAGAGGCAGGTGAGACACTAGCTGCGTCCGAATTGCCAAGTAGTAGTCGAAGTAGTAGTCGAAGTAGTATCTAGCATGTCCGAATTGGCCACCGGAGCGAGTAGCATGCTACTTCAGATACTACTTCAGATGCTAGACACGCCCACATTGTAGGTTGGTCTCGGTGCATCCTACGGGCATGCTACTGACCCAAAATGCACCGCGGGCTTCTTCTTCGTCCTCTTAAAAGTTGTAGAAGCGCATGTGATGCTAGCGCCACCAGCTGCTCTGCCTATTTAAAAGTGTCGCGAACGCCGGCTGGCCACAGCAGCGCGCACCATGTCGGAGCAGCAGCAGCAGCAGGCGGGACCGCAGCAGTACAGATGTAAGTTTCATGTAACTTCACACACTGTTCTAAAAAATGTGCGGTTGTATCTCTTTGTCATGTCATGGTGTCATATTTGCCCAAGTAATCATTTTATGAGCAAGTGGCGACATCATGGAGGTAAAGCTCACTTATTCCATCATTTAACTGCACAGCTGCAGTACTACAGCCAGGCCCGCAGATGAGGGGCTTCAGTTACCACTGTCTGCACGGGCGCAGTACCTACTCTCTGCCTGCGGGGGTCGTCTTTCCCCACCGCTCGTCTAGTGTGTCCGAATTGGGCCAACGTGTTTAGTATGTAGGAGTAGGATCTAGCAGTAGCACGTAGCAGTAGCATGTAGTATCCGAGCGGGCAGTTCGGACGCAGCAACTGAGACACAGGTGAAGACGATGACAGAGGAGGGAAAACTGAGGAGGTAAAACCAGACCAGAAACACAGGGATGGACTCCTACAAAATAAAAGAGGAAACACTGAAAACTGAATGAAACACTGAAAATATGAGGGAAACAGGGGCTGTGTCTCATTTCAGAGACCGCATCGGGCTAAGTGCACTTCTGCACCGTCGAACGGTGCATTTGAAGCGTGCATGACGTCACGGCGGCGCGAACGGTGTCCCATTTGGCACGAGATGCTAAGAAATGCTAAGCGCGTGCCGTCGGTATCCCAGAATGCTTTGCGTGCCGCTGCACAGCTGCGCATTTCAGGTGAGAGGCTGGACTCGCTTGGAGACACAGCGCGTCTTCAAAGAAAATACAAGAAATCCAAAAACAGCAGACAGTCAACGCAGGCTGTATGAGAGCATGATCTCTGAACTCACTAAAATCTGTAAACCAAACATTATAGATTTAGAGACGAACTGATCCGCTCTGCTTCAACTATCAAAAACATTAGAAATAAGAAAGCTGACAAAACTACAGCAGAGTATCAGGACAACATTTAGAGATTAAAGTTGTAAATTTAGGAGAATAAAGTCATAAAGTAAATAAAGTCATAAAGCTGCTTTTGTGGAGGGGGAAATGACTGAAGCTGGTCATCTGCAGGGTTATCTGTGGATGTATCAGCGGGTCATTCAGAGAGATTTTGTGGTTTCTGAAGAAACAATCAAACTGATGATGATCAACATTTGTGATCCAGAGGGAGTCGAGCTCTGACGAGCACCATGTCTCTGACACCGGCGGTAACCTACACCTGCAGAGACACCAACACCTTATTATGGCATATAATAATAACCCCCCGCCATCTTCATGCTGTGATTTATAAGGTTTCCTGACAGGCGTCACACTTGGTTTTGCAGTATGAAGTTATTCTTTGTCTTTGTTTTTGGACTCAGATGTGGTTTCAGAGCAGCAGAGATCGACTCCCTTTTTCCTGCTAAATAAATCAACCAGAGACTTTTGTACTGGGTCAGGTATACGACCTCCATTTGAGCCATTTTCACTCATGCATTTTTGGGCACCCCTTCTGAGATGATGAGATACACCCTGAAGAATGTGTGTACCAAATTTGGTGCTTTTATCCACCGCATAACAATTTGGCCATTTTTTCAAGTTAACAGACCCTACTATGAGGTGGTGTGTTCGAGCCTTTTTCAGGACAAGGTGAATTTTGAAGTCTAGTGTCTAGACAGGAAATTGAAAGAGGAAACAAATGGTATAATCCTGTGTCTCCAAGTGGCTCAGAGGATAAGAACACTGACTGGGATTCCTGAGGTCATAGGTTCGAGTCCAACCTTGCCCAGTTCTAAGTGAATTTTGAAATCTAGTGTCCACAAAGTACAGTGATATATGAAAAAAAAAACATGATGGTCTTCTGTGTCCACATGGCTCAGGGGATAAGGAGACTCACTGGTACTCCTGAGGTGGTGTGTTCGAGCCTTTTTTTGGCCCCTCTGCTCAGCCCCCGGCCATCGGCCGCCCCCCCTATAATCCCCCCCGCAACACTTCTCCCCATCCTTACTCTAAAGTTCAGCCTGCTCTGACTTCCTGTTGCATAACCCCCCTATTTTATCTCTCTGGAAACACCGGGGGTTTGAACCCAGACCTCAGGAGTCCCAGTCAATGTTCTTATCCTGTGAGCCATGTGGACACACAGGCTACACGGCCTACTATAAGGATATAGAGGTATAAGTTTGTCCACACGGGTGTGCCAAACTCCAGACAGAGGCTTTAAATAAATTATTGCTAACTCAATTCTGGAGTAAAATCACTTTATCCCTTTAGTACATTCATAGTACTTCTCAGTGAATAATAATAATAATAATAATAATAATAATAATAATAATGAAGAAACCAAAAACACAAATAATCAAAAGATTAGGGAGTTAACATCAGCAGCTTTTTTCTTAAAATAAAAACAAACACAAGCTCCAACTTTCAATTGCAATTTATTTCAAGTGACGCTAAAATAAAAATCTATGTTTAAAAAATTTCTCGAAATACTAAAATGTTTGGTTTACAGATTTTAGTGAGTTCAGAGATCATGCTCTCATACAGCCTGAGCTGACTGTCTGCTGTTTTTGGATTTCTTGTATTTTCTTTGAAGACGCGCTGCGTCTCCAAGTGAGTCTCCAACAAAACCAGGAAAAACCTAAATTAACCAAACGCATCATGACCAAATCAATCATGGTAAACAGTTTCAAACGTCCCTCTTTACTTCTGTCTCACACCGTCAAGCATGCCCGTGGATTTGCACACAATCCTCTCAGGCCTCCGAGTTCATGTTTTCATATGCAGTTAGTTTTTACTCTTAAATTTATGTCCATTCTGCACATGCATTTCCCCGACAATAGCTCACCGAAACCTTGCGTTGTCATGTGCTTCACAAAGTTATATGGGGCCGTTAAGCCGGACCAGGCTGCAGTCGTGGAGGGTTTATGAGAGGTACGCCGTGTGCGAGCATCTGTTACAACGGGGAGTCTGTGAAAGTGCAGTGGGAAAAATTAAAATGATGGAGAGGATGAGATGAAGGGAGCTATTTTTGAAGGGCATCTTTACCACCTATTGGGAAAAAAAAGGATGGTACTTTATGGAGCAGGATGTCAGTAAAAACATGCTTCAGATTTCTGACTTTCTACAACTCCACTGAAGAAAAATGGGTTTATCTAACAGGGACAGAGTTTGGATGAAGCCTGGTGCATCTCTTTGACTGAGTGACATCTCCAGGTGGAAGAACATGCATGTATGACTGAATAACTGGGCTTCCTTTTGGTACATGCACCACTTCTAACACTTCGAACAAACGCACCCTCAAAAAACCGAACCACACCTTTAAGTATAAAACGTTGTTATAAAACACAAAAAAATGTTGTGTCTCCATGCGGGGGTAGCGCAACTCTCTGATGACTGTGTTGACAGCTGTATTTTGTCATTTCTAAGCTGAACGGGTAATGTTTCCATTTGCTGATTTCTAAGTCTCATGAGGTCCCCTGGTGATACGAGCTCTCTGAGTAAAAATGGGGCACGCAACCGTCAAAAAGTAGAGACAGCTTGAGTTAAAATCGACAAGGAATCTTTCTTTTTCAGGAGAATCTGTATCAGTGTTTGGTTTGACATCTCCATTGTGCATATGTATGTATATGGTCAATGGGTTATTTTAATGTATCCATCAGAGGGCGGCAAGCGTTTAACAGGCGGTGTGAGCGAGCTGCTGCACGCCGGCCTAATTCCCTCCATTACGGCGTACAGTAAAAGTACCTTTGCTGCGGTAAAAAAGAGTAAACGCCTCACTTCTCCAGTATATAAATGCAATATATGGGCTGGCTGGTATTTCCCAGTGGGCAGGTTGGTCAGCTTGACCTCTGTTAAAGCTTCCGTTTCTGTCACCAGCAGCCTGACTGAAATAAATTGGCTTTGGTCTCTATGGGGGAGTTTGCTGTTGCTGCAGACCTGAGGCCTTATTGGTCCAGCCGCAGTCTCAACAGGGAGGTCTATCTATGTGCGTGTGTGTGTATATGTGTGTGTGTGTAACCCTGACCCTGCAAAAGGTGTTTGTATGAATTGCTGTGACCTGGGAGACGGCTACAGTGTGTATTTCTGTGTGTGTACATGAGCGTGTGTGTGTTTGGTTGTTTGTTCTGATCCTATTTTCAGTTGAAGGAGAACTCGGGAATGACCGCGACCTCTGTGTCCGCAGCAGTGTGTGAGTTTGTCGGTAATTGTGCACGAGTGTGTGTGTGTGTGTGTGATTGACCTCTTAATACTCTGTGTGGGAGTGCAGAGGGTGGTTTTGTCCAGGGAGCGTAACAGAAAGATAGTCGTGTGTGAACATCTGCTCTCATATCCTCAGCTTTATCAGGTGGGACGGCGCTGACCACACACCGTTTACAGTTCCTGAAGTTTAAACCAATTAAAACTGATCATTAATTTGAGAAAATCAACCAATCAGAAATCAAAACAACAAATACAGATGTACCCCTACTTGTCCTGTATAATAAGATCTACACATACTGTACATTTACAGGCTGATCTGATGTTTGTACAGTACGCATAGACATTATTGCATGTACAGGAAAACCAGAAACACACTCAGATGTACGAAAGAGGATTACGGCCACAAGAAGAGAAACAAATAATTACAGGAGGGAGATTTTTTTAATTTCCATTTCGAGATTTAAGTCGAAATTTTGAGATTAAAAAAGACGTAATTACTTACGGGAGTAAAGTCATGGTAAAGTAATTAAAGTCCTTGTATTCTAACCTGTTGTTTAAGATGACAGTTGTTGAAATGAGAGCCAAGGAGCATTTTGTGAAAATCTACTTCAATATATGTTTCTCAAACAAGGAGATACTTCATCTTTCAGGGAATCAGCACCACATTATCTTTAGTGTCATAATGATTTTAATACGAATTAATTCTTGGTAGTAATGACTTTACTCTAGTGAATATTGATTTTATTCTCATTAGTTATGACTTTATTCTCATTAGTCATGACTTTATTCTTGTTAGTAATGACTCTATTCTCATAATAATGACTTTAATTTGTAAATTTATGACTTTAATCT